CCACAAAAAGACACTGGATTGAATCTGTTATGTCCTGAGAGTTTATTACTATGGACATTTCTGGAAATCACCCTCGTTTTCACCCCCAATTAAAAACTTATACATTATTCCAAAAGAAGCAAAGGGTAGAAGCTCTGTCCAATGGAACTCATAACTTCTTAAAACAAGTAAATATAAACTGGGAGTGCATATAACATGTAGTCTGGTGTTAACAAAACATATATAAACTAAAGATCAGAGAATGGTTTTGAAGAGGGAAGGTCGTGGTTCTAATCAGAATGAAAAGCAAAGGATTAGTTAGAAGGATTTACTGGGTGGCTGTTTTCAGTGTCAAGGAGGATGAAAAATGAACAATTAAAGGAGTGGAATGACAGAGAAGACAAAACAAGTTTCTAGTGTAAGTGACTAGTGTACTTCTCCAGACAGTAATAGGGACAGAGACTAGAAGAGAGGTTGCTTTTAGAGTTGCGTTTTGAAACTGTAAAGCATGCAGGAGAGTATCTCAATTAAGAAAAACTGGAATAGTAGAGATGTTAAGACGGGCAGTTCTGCATTCTAGGGTATCAGTAGTTAAAGGCATAGTCAGAAAATACTATGGCAGTACAGAGTGAAGTTGAACATTTTTTGTCTTGACTTCTGGTCTGTTTATTCCATGTCCCCTTTCCTTTTGAATTCTCTTACCCATGCTCTCTGCTCTGTTTTTCTTTCCATTTATTATTTTAGTTATTCTCATTTGACCATACCTTTTGAGAAATTCAAGGAAAAGCAGATATGATTAAGGGCTAAAATAAATGCTGTAAAAGAATCTCATTACTTCAGAAAACATATTGTCTTACTTTGCAGTACTTTTTTTGCTTTATAGATGCCAAGAGAGGATTAATCTATGTCTTTGTTTGTGATCTTGCCTTTTATTTCAGTTTATATAATTAAAGAGTTCCCAGGACTACTTTACATTTATTTTGTTCATCAAAAGATACTTCTCAAATTTTATGAAAACGTAGTCCAAAAATAATGTAGTCCAAACCAAACCCATTCAGTTTTCTCTTGGAACGCAATCAATGATAAAGTCGTACCTTGTATCTCATTTTTAACTGAGTAAACACTGTCTTGTCCCTTAATAATGCATAATTCTTTAGGGCGTTCACTTTATATTCCCCACTTCGATATTTGAATATACCCTGGTGATGCATGTAGCAAGATGCATACAATCAGGCATAATAGAGTTGTTTCACAATTACTGTTTGAGGATGAAATCCTCTCTGCAATGAAGTCTCAAAGGTCTTGGGTCACGCTGTGCCTGTGCATGCAGTATGACAGAAAGGAAGGAGACTGTTAGGAACTTGTATTTTGATCATTAACTTTTCAGGAAAGATTGGGGGGAAAAAGGTTAAGCAGCAAAAATGAAAATAGTGTCTGTTGTTGTTGAGGTTATGGTAAGCAGAAGAAAAATAGATTTACCAATCTCAACTCATATTCATAAAACATTCTCTCTTCTCGTGCATCCTCCTTGTATGTAAATTTGAGTCCCAGCTGACCATGTCATTGTCCTGACCAACAAGAGACAAGAGAGTACTTTTCAGAAAGTAGTTTTCATAGAGACTGAGTATATTCATCAGAAAAGATAATACCTTCTAACGTTGAGACTCTGGCCTGCTGTGTATTTTGTGCATCTTATTGTTTACCCCATGGTAGTGGGTTAAAATTAATATTTTTCTCCTCTCAAAATGAAACTCTTTCCAAGAGTCATTGTAAACAGAGAACAGAACTTTCAAACTTTTTTTTTTTTCTGTGAATTCTTATTAGGAAGCTGAAGTGTGCACCCAGGAAAGCTTTAAAAGTAGCTTGAAATATCAGTGTATAGCAGAAAAATGCAACATCAAAGCAATTTCAATCACTGAGCTGTTAGGTCTGGTTTTAGTAGCTATACTTTTGAAGAGGTGGTCAACTAAGCTGCAGAATCTGCCAGAGATACCCGTTCAAATTGAGAATGGGATGTACGTAGTAAGGAAGATGTGAAAGAGGATAGGAGAGTTAACACTGTCCAGCTCTGGGAATGGAGCTGCAGCTAAAGCTTTTTTCCAGACTCTCTAATGACAAGAAATTCTGCTGAACAATCTAGGTTACATTTTCGGCTGGCTAAACTGGAAATGTCCTACAAAGGACCGAACCAAAATAAATGAACCTGAAGTTTTAACTAAACACAATTTCTGATACTTAGGATCAGCAATTAGGCATTTGGTGAATGCCACAAAAAAACATTGGTTCTGTGTGGCTCAAACATAGAATATTTAATATAAAAATGATACAATGACGTGTTAGGAGATGACCCCGATCTACATAGTTGTGTAAACTAGCCTTTTATTTTTTTGTCCACCATCTCTAGCAGTTGGAAGGGTGGTGGCATCGCTGTTGGGAGCAGCAGCTCCCAGCTCCGTGGTAGGTTGAGGATCACTGTTTGGGAGTCACAACTGCAAAATACAGCACAATCACTCTGCATCGGCATTGTTTGTTTTATGCTTGTGATATAGGTGCAGCAAAAAGGTAGCAATGTTGGGAATGAGTATGGCTGCTCAGGGGTATGTGCGTTGCAGCTCCCTTTTCCTGGTTGTGCCCACTGTTGTCCAAACTGTTGACTTTGGAAAGGTTAAAACAGCAATGTAAGAAGGTTCGATTTCAGCAAGTGTTAGGAGAAGTTACGTCAGCCAAATGTTAGTCAGACACTCCCCAGCCTGCACTGCGAATGGGTTTTGTACTTGAAACACTGAACTACATCCATGTGAGATAATC